ATAGGTAAGTAGGCTATACTCAGGAAACTAGTTCATTATTGTAACTAAAAAAAAAAAAAATCTTTGAACATGATTCGATGCCCTCATCTTTAAAAATATCTTACTCCTTGGAGCTCCTGGGTGGCTCATTCAGTTAAGTGTCTGACTCTTGATTTTGGCTCAGGTCATGATTTTGCACTTTGTGGAATCAAGCCCAACAATGGGCTTGGTGCTGACAGTGCAGACCCTGCTTGGGATTCTGTCTTTCCCTCTCTCTCTGCCCCTCACCCACTCATGCTCACTCTCTCTCTCTCTCTTTCTCTCTCTTAAAATAAATAAATAAACATTTGAAACATAGAAATATCTTCCTGGGGAATAGAGGGATGGGCAAAATGGGTGAAGGAGATTGGGAGATACAAGCTTCCAGTTAGGGAATGAATAACTCATAGAAATAAAAAGGCACAGTATAAGGAATATAGTCAATGATATTGTAGTAGCACTGTATAGTGACATGTTAGCTACACTTGTGGTTAACATAGCATAATATGTAAACTTGTCTAATCACTATGTTGTACACCTGAAACTAATGTCAACATGTGTGTCAACTAAAATAAAAAAGAAAGAAAAGAAAAAGAAAGAAAAGCTAACCCTTAGAATATATAGGTTTTACGCTTCTTAAGTAATTTTTTTCATGTGTCAGAAGTCTGTCAGTACTTTTTTTGTATTTCTTATGTTGAGTAATGTTAGATGACAAAATTAAATTTTCATATATAGAGATAGACAGAATATGAGCAGGGGAGGGGCAGAAAGAGAGGGAGACACAGAATCCGAAGCAGGCTCCAGGCTCTGAGCTGTCAGCACACAGCCCGATGTGGGGCTCCAACCCACAAACCGTGAGATCATGACCTGAGCCGAAGTCGGATGCTTAACCGACTGAGCCGCCCAGGTTCCCCAATAACATGGTATTTGTAATAATGTACATGGTTAGTTCAAGAATATGGCAAGCTAATTTGCAACAACATGGATGGAGCTAGAGAGGATTATGCTAAGCAAAATTAAGTCAGTCAGAGAAAGACAAATACCATATGATTTCACTCATATGTGGAATTTAAGAAACAAAATAAATGAGCAAAGGGAAAAAAAGAGAGAAAGAGAGAGAGGCAAACCAAGAAACAGACTCTTAACTATAGAGAACAAACTGATGGTTACCAGAAGGGAGGTGGGTTGGGGGTATGGGTTAAATAGGTGACGCAGATCAAGGACTGCACTTGTGATGAGCACCTGGTGATGTATAGAGGTGTTGAATCACTAATTGTACACCTGAAACAAATATTACACTGTGTGTTAACTAACAGGAATTTAAATAAAAACTTAAAAAAAAAAGAATATGGTGAACTAAAAAAAATAGAAACCAAAATTTGCTAACTCAGAACTTTTAGTTCAGTGTATTTTAAAATGTCCCTTTCTCAGATGATGTGGTGAGATTCAAGGGTAAAGTTTTCTGTTTGACATTTATGACCAGCTGTTAGCCACTATCACCCTGAATCTGTTTGAGCCTTGTCCATAAATATTCAGTAACATGATCACCAGCATAGCTGGTGAAATATAATATGGTGGAATGTAAAATGTGACCATAAATTTCTCACTGTGTCAGTGTGTTAATAAAATAAACCCTGTAACAAAGAGCAAGGGGCATTAATCTCAACCCAAAGAGATCTGTAAGCACTTGTAACTTGAAATCAATAGTTGATACTTGGTATCTAAAATATTTTGGATATAATGTGAGACTAAATAAGCTCAGGTTACAAACACCACTAGAAGGAAAATTTAGTGATCTGTATAGAAAGATCAGTGAAGATGAGCAAGTTGTTGGAAAGCAGAATCTGTTGAGAAAAAACAAAATTAAATAGAAATTTCAAATCCAGTGAAGGAAAAGAATAATTATGAGAAACTGCCTTCCCTTGTTCCCAAAGGATTAATATCAATATGTGAATGCAGTATGAAAGACCTGAACTAACTAAAATGGAGAACATTGGCAGGGAGTACTAAGTATCACAGTAGTATACTCTTTTGGAGAGGATTTTAATTTTAATATTTAAAGAATGATCTGAAGAGTTCTGTCTTAAGGGGGATAGAGTAGATCCTTCACAAAGCTGCCTCCTCTGATGATACATCAAAACAAAAAGAATGGAAAATCTGAGAAACAACATTACATAATGTTTCACTTGGTTATATCAGCCCAGATTCTAGCTATTGCTTAATTTAAATACACACACACACATGCACACACATACACATACACACATACCCCAGTTCTGCCAAGAAAACAAAAGTACGCAGTCTATCTTACATCTGCTAGACTAAGGATTGCTATGACAACTGAATGTAAGACATATACTTTATTTCTAATTCTAAGATGGCATCTCTTCTCTGTTTAGCTCAAAAAGCGACACAGTACAATAAGTAACTAAATTACTGGAAGGAGATTCACACAGAAAAAGAAAAGTTTATCTCTCTTTTATACTTCCTTTTCTTCTTCCTCTTTTTTACTTAAAAAAAAAAATTATCCACAAAACAGTAATCAACTCTGAGACAAAAATGTAATGCTTAATACTTAAACCGGAACAGTAACCAAAAACCACCCAGCACAACTATTTCTGTTAATGTCATGGGGAATCTCCAGTGATCCTTAAGTTCTTTGCATGGAAAGCAGTTGTTAAAGTCAAATGGGGTGTTAAAGTTAAGTTGACTCCTATATCTATTAGCCTTGTCTACCCATCCTGGAATAGATAAAAAGATCCTATTAATAAGATCATAGAAAAACAATTTAAAGCACTAAATAATTATGCTGAAGGAGAAATTACTACTGGTTTCAACGTTTATCTTTTCAGTGTCATTTATTTTTAAAGCTCAGAATATCCTCATGGAGGACAGTGTCCTGGTAAAACACTTAATACTGGTTTTCAGCTCTAAAATAAATAATAAATGACAGTGCATGAGTTGACCTTTGGTCCCATTGACCAAGCTAAGTCATGTTGTTGAGTACCAAATATACACCCAAAGTCCAGATGACCCTGTCTTCTTCTTGAAAGAAGACAGGGAAGGGGAAAGAAAGAAAGATAAGAGCAGGGGGTGAGATGAAAGGAAGAAAATAAATAGAAGGAAATGGTATCCAATGATAGGTACCTCTGATAGTGGTAGACAGTCCTTTCCAAAGTAAAAATTGAGCTAGAAAAAGTAATTAACTGAGTGTAATGAGAAAATAGTTACTGATTTTTTTCCCTTAAGAATTTGCAAAGCATGGTCTCAGTATTACCAGGTTAAATGCCAGTGTAAATTTGTCCGATTAGGCATACTACTTTTGCAGAATTATGTAGCAATGAAATTCCATTAATAGTGTTTTGGTACTGACATTGTTGATAAAGTTATCTTCTCAATAAATCTTTGCTAACAGGGCCTTGGCCTTTTTGATAATTAGCTACTGTAATGTATTTTTCATGTAATTAGTCAGAACCTGTCACCAGGAATGAACTTGCCTTCTATGGGAAAATGCACTCAGTGACCTGCCTCATCTTTCCTATGTCTCATACCCATGATTCACCCATTTGCATAACAATAAAGCTTATTGTATAGTGAGTAGGCATCAGGAAATCTATTTAAAATTTAAGAACAATATAATGTCCTAATCCAAAGAGGGAGGGTGACCCCTCTTTTACTTTATCATTAGTCACGTTTACTAATTTCATATACTCTTTTGCTCCTTTAAACCTTTTTTTTTTTTTTCAACGTTTATTTATTTTTGGGACAGAGAGAGACAGAGCATGAACGGAGGAGGGGCAGAGAGAGAGGGAGACACACAGAATAGGAAACAGGCTCCAGGCTCTGAGCCATCAGCCCAGAGCCCGACGCGGGGCTCGAACCCATGGACCGCGAGATCGTGACCTGGCTGAAGTTGGACGCCCAACCGACTGCGCCACCCAGGCGCCCCTCTTTTGCTCCTTTAAAGTTAACATTGCAGGGCACCTGGCTGGCTCAGTTGGTAGATAGAGCATGCTACTCTTGATCTCAGGGTCATGAGTTCAAGCTCCACATTGGGCATAGAGCTTAAACAATTAAAAAATAAAGTTAACATTGCAACTCATATTGTCCATGTAAAGATATATAATTCAAATAGGAAAGCCATTAATTTATTTGTGTTAATTTTTTTTCAAGACCAAAATATGCATTACTCGATGAATGTACCAGTGCTGTCAGCATTGATGTTGAAGGAAAGATATTTCAGGCTGCAAAAGGGGCTGGAATTTCCTTACTATCTATAACGCACAGGCCTTCTCTGTGGTAAGTGTTTCCAATGCTAATTTGCAATAGATGGTTTTTCTTTATATTTCTTTCTTTTTTTCTTTTGTTTAGGGAGAGAGAAAGAGAGAGATCATGCAAGCAGGGGAGAGGGGCAAAGGAAAAGAGAGAGAGAGAGAGAGAGAGAGGGAGAGAGAATCTCAAGCAGGCTCCATAATCAGCCTGGAGCATGACCTAAGGCTGGATCTCACAACCTAGGATCATGACCTGAGCCAAAATCAAGAGTTGGATGCTCAACCAACTAAGCCACTCAGGCAACCCTCTATATTTCTTTTTCTTTTTAATTTTTTTTTCAACGTTTACTAATTTTTGGGACAGAGAGAGACAGAGCATGAACGGGGGAGGGGCAGAGAGAGAGGGAGACACAGAATCGGAAACAGGCTCCAGGCTCTGAGCCATCAGCCCAGAGCCCGACACGGGGCTCGAACCCACGGACCGCGAGATCGTGACCTGGCTGAAGTCGGACGCTTAACCGACTGCGCCACCCAGGCGCCCCTATATTTCTTAAATAGTAGCTTTGCCTAGGGGTGCCTAGGTAGCTCAGTCGATTGGCAACCAACTCTTGATTTCGGCACAGGTCATGATTTCTCAGTTCATGATATCGAGCCCCACGTCAGGCTTGGCACTGACAGTGCTGAGACTGCTTGAGATTCTTTCTCTCACTCTGTCTCTTTTCTCCTCCCCAGTTCATGTGCATACACACGTGTGTATTCTCTCTCTCTCTCAAAATAAAAAATTAAAAAAAAATTTTTAAAAAGAGCAACTTTGCCTAAACTGTCACTATAGAGCATCGGATACTTCACTTATTCTACCTGTATTTCTGTTAAGTTGCACACTAGTAGTAGAGATATCCCAAACCTCACATCATAACATATATGTGCTATTTAAAAACTATTATCACATTCCAATAATTCTGAAAAACAGTGGAAGAATCAAGTGTGTTTAACTGAAAATATTCATAATCCATAGCGTGTACTAGGAATGAATATATTTATGTAATTTTATATCATCTTTTTACCCCTTTTTTCAAAATCCAGGAAAAAACCTGCACAACATACTATTCCTACAGATGATTAAGTTGGAGAAAACACAAGGGAAAAAAAGCTTTTTTTTTTTTTTTTTTTGCTTTTGTTTTAAGGAAAATTGAAAATATTTTCTAAATATTATCCCATTAAACCTAATGAGATTTCCCATATTTAAAGAAATGGCAACACTATTTTTACCATTCCCCTACTTTTCCCATTGATTGATAACCATAATAATAGTTGATAGTGCAGATTCAGCACCTATTCTGGTCCAGGCTCATTTTATTCAAGTGTCATAACAACCCTATAGAGATTATAGATAGTCTAATTATTCCCATTTTATGATTAAGAAACTGAGAACTAGAAAAATGAGAAAAGTAACTTGCCATGATCACTCTATACTATAGTATGCTGCTCTAGTTAGTATAAGGAGCTCAAAATGCACCTTATATATAAGCCATAAAAACACTGTTCATTTATACTACACTCCACTACTTTGGTATTTGTTTCATCAATCAAAATCTTTTCTTTTGACATATTAGTTACTACAGTGGATTCTATATGCTTTAGCCTCATATTTCCCAAGGGACAGGCAGGACTTTTCCTCTCTCTCTAGCTGGAGTATTCTGTAGCAGGTGGCTAATCACATTCTGTGCCAAAGCCTCCATCACGTAGGTGACTTCAAACCTAGGCTAAGTAACCAGCTTTATTTGAGTTAATCCTAGAAGGCATTCTAGAACTTCCACTGTATAGAGAATACTTACCGTAAAATTGTGAGTAAACTGAGTATTCAGTTTAGATCAGGCTTTCATTGTTGAAAATTCTTTGATTCTGTACTTCTATTGAGAAGATAATAACCTGTTTTGTCTTCATTTAAACATTCAGATTTTTCATAATTTTTCCCTGCAGAGAGTTAACCTGAAAATAGAGCATTCATGAAATGACCCTTTCTATAGAACTTTGTGGTTTGTCTCTCTGTCATTAAGAACTAATTAGCATCTGGAGTGATAAAATCTCTCCAGAAGCAGTCTGGATCTAGTCCAGGATGAGTACATGGCAATGAATGTGATTCCTCTGACTTTTCCCTGGAGAAAACCAACAGGAATTGGATCTCCACAACAATTACGACATTTATCTATAAATCCCTGAATCAGCGATGGCATAGAACCACGCCAGAACTCTTGAACCCTTTCTGGTATACACTTGTCATTTCCAGACATGCTTCCTAATTGATCACATGTTAGCATAACACGGAGTTATGTCTTAGTTCTGGTAATTTTCTGACCTCTATCAATTAATTTATCATGTTATTACGTCACTCAGTTCCTTATTCAAGAAGCCTAAAAAGGCATTGGAAACATTCACTCATTTTTTTTTTCTCAATTGAAGGAACAAATCGGTTTTGGTTGCTGTGATATTAAATACTTTATTTAGAGTAATTTAGTATGTTACAATAAACTGACAGGAAGAGACAGAAATATCCCATATACTCTGCCCCTACATATGCATAGCTATCCACAATAGAATGAAACATTTGCTATGATTAATGAACCTACACTGACACATCATTATGACCCAAAGTCCATAATTTACATTAGGGTCACTCTTGGTGATGTACAGTCTGTGGGTTGGAACAAATTTTTAGTTGCATATATCCATCATTACAGTATTGTATAGAGGATTTTTTTTTAATTTTTTTTTTCAACGTTTATTTATTTTTTGGGGACAGAGAGAGACAGAGCATGAATGGGGGAGGGGCAGAGAGAGAGGGAGACACAGAATCGGAAACAGGCTCCAGGCTCTGAGCCATCAGCCCAGAGCCTGACGTGGGGCTCGAACTCACGGACCATGAGATCGTGACCTGGCTGAAGTCGGACGCTTAACCGACTGCGCCACCCAGGCGCCCCTGTATAGAGGATTTTAACTGCTCTAAAAATTTTCTGTGCTCTGCCTATTCATCCCTCTCTTTCCTCAAGCTCTGGAAACCACTGATCTTTAATGCCTCCATAGTTTTGCTTTTTTCAGAATGTCATATGGCTGGAATCATACAGTATGTAGCCTTTTCAGTTTGGCTTCTTTCACTTAGTAATACTCATAGAAGTTTCCTCCATGTCTTTTTATCGCTTGAAACCTCATTTCTTTTTAGCACTGAATAATATTCCATTGTTTGGATGTAGACAGTTTATTTATCCATTCACCTACTAAAGGACATCTTGGTTGCTTCCAGTTTGGGAAATTATGAATAAACCTGCTGTAAACATTCATATGAGGGTTTTTAGGTGGACACAAGTTTTCTCAACTCCTTCGGGTAATATCAAGGAGTGCAATTGCTGGATCATATAATAAGAGTGTGTTTAGTTCGGTAGGAAACTGAAAAATTGTCTGCCAAAGTGGCTGTACCATTTTGCATTCCAACAAGCAATGAATGAGAGTTTCTGTTGCTCCACAGCCTTGTTGGCACTTGGTGTTATCAGGGTCCTGGATTTTGGCCATTCTAATAGGTGTATAGAGGACAGATATTTTTTTAAGCTAATAACAAAATCTGTAATTTTATGCCTTTTAATGAGAAAAACATGTTTTTAATTGTAGCTATTCATAGTACATTTCCCCATAAAACTAAAAATTATGTTACTTCTGCAGTATGAATTAATTTAGGCATTTTAGGTTGAAGAAATCTATCATTTCTGATTAACCTTTCTCCCTAGATGAAATTCTTATTTTCCCTGAAAAGATACCAGATGAGGGAAAACTGTATTACATTTTCCCCAAGACAGCAAAGTAGTAATTATTGATTGTAAAGATTAAAATCAATATCAGTATATAAAAAGGTCAAAAATTATAAGAGCTTATTAAATTATTTGATTCCTGGATAGAATTATAGCTTTATATCTACCACTTTCCTAAGCTTGACTCGATTTGTGCAGAAAGTCTGTAGATTATCTCTGAGTCTCAGTTAATATAGTAGTTTCCTGTAAAATCCTCTTAAGCAAACCCTGAAATACTATTTAGCCCATTATGTAGGACACACCTTTGAATCTCAGGTAATGAAACACCCATACATTTTCTTCCTCCCATGTAGAAATCAAATGATGTTGTGAGACAGGAGGGACGAGCCAAACCTTCATTATACCTTGAAGATAAAAGTTGCCCAAGATCAGAACTACTGCATTCTGAAATTGCTCCCAGCTGTACATCCAAAGTTAGGAAAAGCCCAGGAATATATATATATATATTATATATATATATATATATAAATATATATATAATATATATATAAAGATCATTAATCTGTGTCATATGTTATCAAGCATATGAACTTTCAACCTTCATCTTGAGAGTGATTTTATTCTTTTAGACACAGTTTAACCCAGGTTAATTTCCTCATCTTACAGCATGATAAAACCATCTAATCAAAATGAGATGAAACCACAGGTCCTACAACTGATGAATAGATCAACAAAATGTGCAAATCCATACAATGGAATATTATTCAGCCATAAAAATGAAGGAAGTACTAATACATGCTCCAACTTAGATGAACTTTGAAATCATTTTGAGTGAAAGAAGTCAGTCACAAAAAGCCATGTATTATATAATTGTATGTATATGAAATGTCTAGAATAGACAAATCCAGAGACACAGAAAGAAAATTGATGGTTGGGAGGGGTTGAGCAGAGCAGGGAAAGGGGAAGGACCGCTAATAGGTATGGGGTTTCTTTTGGGGGTAAAGAAAATATTCTGGAATTGGATAGTAGTGATGGTCACATGAGCTTCTGAATAAACTAAAAATCACTGAATTTTACACTTAAAAGGATGAGTTTGTGTTATGTGAATCATATCTCAAGTTTAAAAAAGGAAGTGAATTTACTTGAAATAAGCCCACTGATTATAGTAAATAATGACAGATGAGTGCTTAAAAGGGATCAAGAAGCAACAAAAACTGGAAGGAAAAGACAGGAAAACTGAGGACACATAGGAGTATGCGCCACGTCAGGAAAGTGACAAAATGCAGGGACACAGCAATGCAAGGCCAACTCTGCTAGCATTACTCTCTCCACACATCCCCCACAAATTCCAGAAACCAGTAATCTTAGCCTCTTTTTAGGACAACATGGATTATCTCCTGTGTCATCAATAAAATAATCTCTATACTTGTCTGAAGTTTCTAATTATGAACCAGAGCCATGAGAAAGGATATTAAATTGTATGAAGGCATGGGAGTATCTTTAAAAGATTTCTATCAAAGAGTTCATTTTTTTTTATATTTTAAAACTGGGGTGCTTGGGGGGGGCCCAGGAGGGTAAGTGTCTGACTCTTGATTTTGGCTCAGGTCACGATCTCATGGTTGTGAGATGGAGTCCCGCATTGGGCTCCCGGCTAGATGTGCAACCTGCTTAAGATTCTCTCTCTCTCCCTCTCCCTCTGCCCCTCCCCAGCTTGCACACATGCACGCTCTCTCTCCTTCTCTTAAAAAAATGTTTTAAAACTTTATTAGTGAGGACTTTTTACTTATGTAGAATAATTCATTCCGAAAAGGTAGTATATTAATGAATTGATATTGTATTTCCTTTATTTTTCTTAGTTTTTTTCCCCTGTATAACTTTAAAAGTTTACTTTCTTCTCTCAGCTTGCTTTCCTTATTCCCATTCTAACTAAGCTTTGATATTTATTTAGGGGCCATACTTGGTTCTGAAGATAAATAGATACAAACAGCATATCTTCCTTTGAAGTTCGTATATATTCAGAATATAAGATAAATATAAGCAATGGAATTCCCAAGAGATTAGTGACTTTTGAAATTAAAAAGATTATAATACTTAACCTCATGAGGGATTCTTGAAAATCAAATGTATAACAGTCACCTTACTTAAAATTTGCCTTTGGATACCAACTGGAATGATAAACCTAAAATGGCTTTTCACAATTATTGCTAATAATATAATTTCATTTTGATCATGCAGGAAATACCACACTCATTTATTACAGTTTGATGGTGAAGGAGGCTGGCGCTTTGAACAATTGGATACCGCTATCCGTTTAACACTCAGTGAAGAAAAACAAAAGCTAGAATCTCAGCTAGCTGGAATTCCCAAAATGCAGCAGAGACTCAATGAACTATGTAAAATTTTGGGAGAAGACTCAGTGCTGAAAACAATCAAAACTGAAGATGAGACATCCTAATTTGTTTTGACATGTTTTAAAAGTTAATTTTTAGGTAAAGGCTCAGAGACACTCTGTTATGTTGCATGCATTGTGTTTAAGCACAGAGAAAAAGGAAGGAATGTTTTATAAGACTTTAGCATCAAGGAAATATATGATCTGACTTTTCAGAGGAAAATAAACAAATGCATTATGTGAGATTAGTCATTCTTGCTTATACTAATTCCTAGTGACGGCCTAGTTCACCTGTGAAACAAGATTTTCTAGGTGAATTTATGATGAATACCAGATTTGCTATGTGTATGTGATGCATCTGAAGTTCTTAACAAACATGGGAGATATCTTGAGAATGGAACAACTTAAGAACATTATTCGGTTTGAAAACAGGTGCATAAAATTAGAAGTTTGAGTAATGCCTCAGTCCATTTATGGTTATTAGGTTTAATAGCTAGAATTCATGTTCATCATTGCTAGTGGTCAACTAAACCTGCATACAAAATAGCTGACAGTTTGATAAATAATGTCAATATGAAAAAAATTATTTTAATGGCAGTGGTTGAAAGAAAGAAGCATGGCTGTACGTGTGTAAAGTGCCATATCTTTAAATTTTAGATTTTCAGCATCTTAATGTGGACACATAACAAATTAGTCTTAATGAGAATCTTACATATTTGTTAATAAACCCTTTTGTTTTTTTTTTGTTTTTTTTTTTTTTTTAAATTTTTTTTTCCAACGTTTATTCATTTTTGGGACAGAGAGAGACAGAGCATGAACGGGGGAGGGGCAGAGAGAGAGGGAGACACAGAATCGGAAACAGGCTCCAGGCTCTGAGCCATCAGCCCAGAGCCCGATGCGGGGCTCGAACTCACGGACCGCGAGATCATGACCTGGCTGAAGTCGGACGCTTAACCGACTGCGCCACCCAGGTGCCCCATAAACCCTTTCGTTTTAAAAAGAGAATGGCCAATACGGAAAAGGAGTATCCAAACAACGTATGTCTCAGCCTGTTACTTTGCTTGGCAGCATTTTCTACTGCAACTTCTGTCTAGAAATACTCAGCTTGTTTTTGTGCTCAGAGGAGGAGTCCACCACATTTTTAAATAATAGCGCTATCATGGAATATAGGGGTTCTCCAAATCACAGTAGTAATAGCACACTTGAAATAGCACTTTAGAATTTACAATCCTCATTTATATCATTTCATTTATATTCTTATGTCAATCTATTGAGGCAAATATTCTTTGCCTACTTCGCGTTTGCGGAAATTGACACTCAGACTTGCCTTAATTATGCAATTTATTTAGGGACAGATCCAAGGATCAAATAAAGTTCTCCTGATTCCTTGATCATTGCTATTTCTACTTTCTACTATTATCCTTGAAATCTAACTGGACTGTAATATCAATAAAAGTTAGATGAGATGTTGAAAAGAAAATAAATTTGGTAATGATAGGGCTGTTACTATGTGATTATTGTTTACAAGACATGGAAATTACATACAAAGTGGAAAGGTCATTGGTCTGTGGTTTAAAATGAACCAAGAAAGTTAGCAAATTTTTCAGCAACTATACACTCATACTCAATATTGATGTACCTCTATAGCCAGCAATCAGAAGGGAAATTAGTTGTGTTATAGATAAATTTTAATATTTATTGAATGTAATGAGAAAGAATCTGCATGGAATAGTCCATGTGAAATAAAGCTTATCTATTCATGTGCCCTGGAGTTGGAAATACAAAATCCAGAACTGGCATTTTAATCTCCTACTGCCTATGCCACCACATTGACAGGCCAGGAAAAATGAGAGTGATCAGTTGTTAGCGGTTTTGGATTTTATTTACATATTTAGACACAATCATAAGAGATGCTAAGTCAGTGATTCTCAGACTTTATCAGGCGGTAGAGTACCCAGAAGTCATTCATGATCACTGTAGTAGAACATCATGACATGTTCACATTTGCAATTCTTCCATGCTAATCAAGACATTTTTAGTTATCAACAAATGTAACCATCTTGTATGAAGGAAGTCAGTAGAAAATCATAATCAGTACATCTGTCTAGGTTTTTCTGTTAGTATCTTCAGGTACTCAGTGAGGCAAGTGTCAAAGGTTCAAAAAAATGCATGGACCCAAAATTTAAACTTGATAAAAATCATCCATTAATCTTAACTTCTGTTTAGTGGTTATTCAGTTTATCCTGCTGTAGGAAACAGTCGGAGGCAAGTGTCTTGTTAACTCTTAAAGGTACAGGAAGAAAATGAAAAGTCCTCATTTGAAATATGTGCATAATTTCCATGCCTTAATTTTCACAATTTGAAATATAAAGCATTTAGGACCTGATATATTGTTTTGAAACCTAGAAATGAATGCCAAAACAAATATTAGATTTGTAATTAGCCCTTATTTGATACATCCTATCAATGAGCTGAAGTAAGTAAGATTCATTATTTATAATGTACAGGATTCAAGGATGTTTAAAATTCTGTACTAACAACTGTACACACTGTAATTTAAATGTTAAAATTCTAAGAGAAACATGGTTTACATGAGCTTTTTGTGCCTATTTATTTTCTGAATTTTCATCAAGGACCAATATCCTCCAACTTGGAGGGGAAAAAAATCTGTGATTTCAATTTGTGTTGATGTACCATCTAACTGTTTCCAAAATGGTCCAATGGGTATACCATATTTTACTATTCTTATAGTTACACTTTACAAAAAAACATGAACAAGATTAAGATATCAAATAGCCATCTTTGAATACAGCAAAGGGTAGATGGAAAGAAAAAGAAAGGATATTTCAATTTTCAAACTACTTTACTACTTACTTTCAAACTACTTTACTACTTTTACCAGGTTATCTATTTACCCAAACTTTTGACTTCTGGGTTTTTTGGGTTTTTTGTCAAAGAAAGCTGTAAGTTTATGGAGATTGATTTTTAAATGTGCACTTTTTGGCTAACTTCCAACTTGGAAAATAAGTTGCATTCTATAAAAATGTTGCATTTTATTTCTCCAGCATGTAGTGTTAGGCCAAGCATGAATCTAAAATTGTGTGCGTTCTTGTAAACAAGATAATGTTTAAAAATCCCTCTCCGGTAATCTCAAGGACGATGACATATCCCGATATTCAGCCCAACTTTACATTTGTTTACAATGGGGACGGTTTTCCTCGACAGTAATTTGGGTTTTGTTTCAAATTATGCTTTTCAAGTAAATGTATAAATGGACATGTTCGTTTTTTATTTGAGACTTTGGTTCCAAGTATAATTTCATATTTGGCGATAGGCGTCGCCTATTAAAATCTTTTTGGAATAGTTTTTGATTCCATAAGCCTAGAAAAATTTGTGACACATTGGAACCCAAAATCCGGAGAATGTTACACACTTCTGAGGTGTGCAGAATATGGTAATGATGATCAAACCATTGATTAAAAGAGATACCTTTGAAAGAATTACATTATGGCAAATATGGGTCTCATTTAGAAATGTGAAGTACTTCCATAGACCCCAGGGTATTTTCATTTCTGCTGATATACCCTTAGGTATGTCGAATATGTTTTAGAGCTGTACTTGTCATGTTTGCCACATGAGAACTTTCAGATGGATGCAAAAAATATTTTTATTAAAAGCAAATTCCTTCTTCATTGTTGGTGCCTTTCTTGATTTCCAAATACAAAACTGCTTTACAGTTTTTATTGTGAAATGTTCAAAACCAGTTGCCTATACTTATACACAGGGCTTGTGTTAATGAAAGCAAGTGAGAAAAATGTCCTTAATGGTAAAAATAACTATGTAGCTAATCTAGAATGTGGCTATTTGTGAATGCTCTATGATATAGTCTCCAATGTGCAGTTGCTTGAGCTCAACATTTCTTGTGAATTCCTTAATAATCATTAAAAAACGTTTGATTAATCAAAGGAATTACAAATTATTCCAGTGGTAGAAAACACCTTATTTCTATATTTTAAATGACTTTGCTGAGCGTGTCTATATACACCTCATTTACAAGTTGTGTGGTGTACAACTGTATGTAGTGCTATGAACAATAGTCCCCAAATAGTTGCTTCAATATTTATTTTCTTTATTAATTCAACACATACTTATTAAGTACCAGCCTATGCCAGGCACTGTGCTAGGTTCTAGGAATAAATAAAATATGGTCCCTGTACAAAGAAGCTTACCGTTCACTGAAAATTAGGAAAATGAGTACCCTGAGAGAAAAACTCAATAGGTACTATTTATTATTTACCAAGAAGGCAGAAAGCATTGATACATATTGACTTATTACATCTTCACAAAACTAATTCAATAAAAGTGGAAAGTGAGGACAGGTTAAGTAATTCATCCAACCTCATACAGCTACAGCTATAGAGCTGAAATTTAAACCTAGCAATATTGGATTACAAAGCCATGTAACTCCCATCAATTCCTTTTTAATTAGTTTAGGTCAATTTGTCATTATCATTGTTTTAAACTCTAAACTTTTAAACTCTTAAGTTATAAGTATGTTTTTAACTGGCTCAAGGTTTCTGGTTAACCAAACATGCATTTTTTTTTCATCTAAAACAGAAATTTGTCACTTAAATTGTATTTTCACTGTTTTTATTATAAATGTTGGATGCAGTCCTATGGGAGAAAGAGAACAAAAGGCAGATTTTCAAATGTTTTGAAGAAGAAATGTCCAAACCGGTTAACATTCATTCATTCATTCATTCATTCAGTAAATATTTATTGACACATTCAAGGTACCATTTATTGTGCTAGGGATTTTAAGTGAACAACACAGACCTGGTCTCAGTCCTCATGAAACGTTTTAGTACATCAATAGTAAACAATTGTATGCCTGTTAGATGTTATGTTCCCATCTAAATGGCATATTTGTTTTGTAGTATCTTCTCAATTCTTGTATTTCCTGCCTAGGACAGCTCTGTTGCAACATTTAAGCAATAAGCATTTTCTGGCAGCAACATTCCCTTGATTACACATTTAAAGGCTTCATAATCCTCATGCCCTCTAAC